CCCAGCAATTCCCCTTCTAGGTATGTACCCAAAAGAAATTAAATTACCACCTCATAAAGATATATACACTTCCATTTTCATTGCAGTGTTATTCGTAATAGCCAACTTCTAGAAACAAAATCGAAATGTCTATTTGTAGATGAATGATGAAAGTAATTGCAGCATACARACCCACGTGCACACATTATTTGGTCTTGAATAAAGAGATCCTATCTTTTCCGACAACATGGGTGAACCTAGAGGACATTTTGCTAAGTGAAATAAGCCAGACACAGAAAGATAAATATTGCATGATCTCACTTGTGTGTATCATCTGAAGAGAAGGAAAACACTGAATGTATAAAAACAGTATGGTTACTGGTAGTGGGGAATGGAAAGATGTGGGTCAAAAGGTACACAGTTGCAGTTTTGTAGGGTGAATATGTGTAGAGATATAATGTACATTATAGCACACAAAGTACACTGCTCCTTTTGTGTCAAAACCACAATGAAAAGACAGACTGTGGGTTCTGGCACTATGATTTCTGCATGAAAACTGTGAATGGTGGCACCTGGATCTACAATACTACTTCTGCAGTCATAGTCAAGTCTGCCATCAGAAGGCTTAAGGAATTGAAAGACCAGTAAAAGCTCTGCCATGAGACATCTCTAGCTTATAATAAGTGGGTTAATTGATGTATGTATGTATGTATATATGTATATATGAATGAATGAATAAATAAATAAATAAATAAATAGAACTGGGATGTTGCTCAGTGGTAGTACACTTATGTAGCATGTGTGAGGCCCTGGGTTCAATTCCCAGTATCTACAAAAAGAGAATTAAACTTTCCGTATGCAAATCTGAAATTAAACATGATGAAGTGCAAAGAATTAATATTGCATCACTTTCTCCCCCAGATGCATCAAGTCATCTCCCTCATTTTTCTAGCCCTGACCTGGTGAATAAATATGCTATAGTGGAACATCTGAATTTTACTTACTACTTACTTCACGGACGCCCATCTTTTGCATTTGGTACCTTTCTGGTCCAAGAGTTAATCAAGAGCAAGAATCCCAAACAGCTGTGAGTATTTAAAACTTAATTTGTACTCTAAAACACATATTTGCCATATGCAGCAGCCCACACTTATAATCCCAGTGATTCAGGAGGCTGAGGCAAGATGATAACCACGTTTGATGCCAACTTTAGCAACCTGGTGAGACCCTGTCCCCARAGGACTGGAGGGCCAGATGCAGTGGCGCTCACTTGTAATCCCAGTGGAGAATCGTGAGTTCAAACCCATCCTCAGCAATTGCAAGGTTCTAAGCAATTTGGTGAGACCCCCATCTCTAAATAAAATATAAAACAGGGCTGGGGATGTCATTCAGTGGCTGAGTGCCCCTGAGTTCAATCCCCAGTACCCCGTCCCCCACCAAAAAAAAAAAAAAGGACTGGGGGGGCTTTGGTTGTGGTTCAGTGGTAGAGCACTTGTCTTGCATGTGTGGGGCACAGAGTTCAAGCCTCAGCACCACATAAATAAATAAAAGGTACTCTGTCCATCTACAATTAAAAATTAAAAAAAAAAAAAGTCTGGGATGTAGCTTTGTGGTTGAGCACACCTGGTTTCTATCCCCAATACTGTAAAAACAAACAAAAAGAGGCACATCTATGTATTTTACAAATACATTTTTAAAAGTACTAGAAACTGGGCTGGGGTTGTGGCTCGGGTATAGCACTCATCTAGCATGTGTGAGGCACCACATAAATCCTCAGCACCACATAAAAATAAATAAAATAAAGGTATTCTGTTCATCTACAAATAACAAATTATTTTTWAAAAATACTAGAAACATACCACAGTTAACATTGTGTTTTTTGGGGGGATGGGAGGTACTGGGGATTAAACTCGAGGGCATGTGGCCATGGAGCCACATCTCCAGCCCTATTGTGTATTTTATTTAGTGACAGGGTCTCTGAGTTGCTTAGCACCTTGCTTTTGCTGAGGCTTGGCTTTGAACTCGAGATCCTCCTGCCTCAGCCTCCTGAGCCCCTGGGATTACAGGAGTGCACCACTGTACCTAGCAACAATGATTACTTTTTTTGTTTTGTTTTGTTACCAGTGATACCCAGGTGTGTTTAACCACTGAGCCACATCCCCAGCACTTTTTGAGACAGGGTCTAAATTGCTGAGGATGGTCTCAAACTTGCAGTTCTCTTGTTTCAGCCTCCCAAATTATTGGGATTACAGGCATGTGCCACTGCATCTGGCAACAATGTTTATTTTTGGACAATGATTTACTTTGTTGTGTGTGTTTGTTTTTGCATTTACTGGGGATTGAACCCCAGGGATGGTGCTTTATCACTGAGCTACATTGCCAGCCCTTTTTTTTATTATTAAAATTTTAATTTTGGTACAGGGTCTCATTATGTTGCTCCCTAAAAGCCAAATAAGCCTTAATCTTGTGATCCTCCAGCATCAGCCTCCTACAGGTTTGCATCATTATGCCTGGCTCACTGTGCTTTTCTTGGTGTACCAAGTTTTTGGCACTTAGTGTCTGATTTTTGTTAATGGGGAAAAAGATAAAAATATATCTTAAAAGGTAGATTTATTTTAAAATTATATGGGAGCTTGTTGAGTGTTAGCAGTTACTCTAGAAGAATTCTAATATGAGATATGAAGTTTGTATATTAAGATCTTATGTTATTCACTTTTTAAAAATATTTTTTGAACTTGTAGATGAACAGAATTCCTTTATTTTTATGTGGTGCTAAGGATTGAACTCAATGCCTCACACATACTAGGCAAGTGCTCTGTCACTGAGCCCCAGCCCAATATAATTCACTTTTATTAAGTACAGAATTGGGTGATGTGCCGGGTGCAGTGGTGCATACCTGTAATCCCAGTGGCTTGAGAGGCTGAGGCAGGAGGATGGAAAGTTCAATGCCAGCCTCAGCGACAGTGAGGCGCTAAGCAACTCAGTGACACCCCATCTCTAAATAAAATACAAAATAGGGCTGGGGATGTGGCTCAGTGGTCAAGTGCCCCTGAGTTCAATCCTCAGTACCACCCCAACCCCGCCAAAAAAGAATTGGACAATGTATTCAATATAATCAGCTAAATATAGATTTTTCTTTTTGGTTTGATACTTAACAAATGCCTTTTTTTTTTTTTTTTTCAGTACTAGAATTGAACTTGGGGGCACTCGACCACTGACCCACATCCCCAGCCATATTTTTTTTGTTTTATTTAGACAGGGTCTCACTGAGTTGCTTAGCACC